GTTGCCTAGACGGTTTTAGGGCCAAACGGTCTGACCGTCTGGGTCAACGACGATTCAAAAACCATGTTTTGATCTTAAATTTAATGATATTAATGTTTTTATGGAATTTGTATATATTTTCCTAGTGTATCCATGCACTCTCATATTTTTTGTCTGTATCCATGTGTTTCAAAAAAGTATCCATATCCGAGTTGTCCAATACAATACCCAATACCAATACTTTAATCATTTATGCCTTGAAATTTGTAAAAGTTGTTACTCTCAATATATAAAAGCATTCTTATATACCAAACACTAACAAAATTGAAGTGCATATATGCATTGAACCAACATTTGCACTCTTCCGAAATGGAGACCAAGGCTTTATTGGGGAAGAGTGCAAATACAAATATGTGTAATGCAAAACCTTTTTCACTTTATGGGGCTACACAAATGGGGGTAGCCTCTCCCTTTAACCCCCAACCTTGGTGGTAGTGGAATTTGATCCCAGATCTCTACTCCAATGGGTTAGGCTTCATTTCGGAAGAGTGCAAATGTTGGTTAAGTGCATATATGCACTTCAATTTTGTTAGTGTTTGGTATATAAGAATGCATTTATGTATTGAGAGTAACAGATTTTACAAATTTCATGGCATATTTGCATTCAAAATGATATCAAAGTTGGTTAATGTGAAAAAAAAAAGTTAGATTCCAATCTAAGAATTCATGTTTACACCCATTACAACTAAATATTATTTGGCAAATTAATTTATCAATGCAAAATTAAACCAACTTTGCATTTGCATGGACCATACTCTACATGTTTGTGTTTACATTCTTCCCAAACAAAGCCTTAAAGTTTGAACATGGTGGGTTTTGGTTAGAATGAGGTAGGGGTTTGATATGTATTGGGACATAGTTAATATAATTATATCCAAGAAGAAAATCCCAATTAAAATAGCTATACCCAAGGAGACAAATGGCTCAAATCAAAATTGAATGACAGTGAAAAGCATGGTTTTTAAAACTGAACTTGGTCAGGGGTCTGGTTACTGGTTCGAGCAGTCTGATCGTTCGACCTGAACAGCCAACTTGTTCTGACAAAAAAAATTAAAAAATTTGAAAAACGATCAAAACTATTCGAACAGTTAACCAGCCGGTTCAGCGGTTTGCTGACCAAAATCAACAGTTTTCGGGGGAAAAACGGGTTTGGGGAAAATGGAACCGATCAGGTGACCAGTTCCTGGTTTTTCCGGTCTAACCGTCTGGTCTGATCTAGTTTTGAAAACCATGGTGAAAAGCAAGAGAAAGAAAAAGATTTTTAAATCCAAGAGGGTTAGGAGACGTTTCATTCATAAAGTGTTCATCGATCCTCTAAAATAAACAAAGGCCACTACCCCCATTATTCTTAAGTTATTCTTTTTTTTTCAGCTTTTTCTTTATATCGAGCTTGGGCTCCTAATTCTTTGTTTCTAGAGGGAGGGTAAATCTCATGCCCCCACCTTTTAATTATGGGAAAATTCCATATTAGTACCTTGTACTTTGGGCCTAGTGTCACTTTTGTCCTTGAACTTTAAAATGCAATAATTTAGTATTCGAAGTTTCAAAATGTGCAAATCTAGTACATTCCATTAACCAGCCCATTAAACAGCCATTAAGTGTCATTTGGAAAGACACAAATACCCTTTAAATGTCATCTAATTCTCTTTATCAATCATCCAAACGTTGACAAAAAATGAAAAGTCCCAAATCCTTTTCTTTTCTGTTCAAGAAAGTTGGGGTCACTAGAATGCCCACTGAGACATTAATCTCAACTTTCTTGAATAGAAGAGGCAAGGATTTAAAACTAAGACTGTTCATTTTTATCAATGTGTGGAAAGAAAATTAGATGACACTCAAAAGGCATTTGTGTCTTTTCAAATGTCACATAATAGCTGGTTAAGGATTGATTAGTGACAAGTACTGGATTGACACATTTTGAAAGTTTGGATATGGAATTGTCACCTTTTAAAGTTTGGGACTAATGTGGAAAATACAGGGTACTAATTAAGAATTTTCCCTTATTAATAAATTCTTCTTCTTTAAAAAAAATAATTATATTTCCACTTTCTTGTGCTTGTACTTGCAATCTTTTTGAGTATCCTACGAAAACAGAAAGCTGAGAGCAAATGCCATCTTGGGCTCCTCATGGATGTGTAAATCCACTTGAGTGCCTTTGATAAGAAGTCAAAACGAGAGTGGTAGATCCATAGCAAAGGATTAATCATTCCTGAAGGAAGAACTACATGGCCAGAAGAAGAGACGGGGTCGACTCCAATCCAATCCAAGCTGCTTCCATGATGGATGGCCGGTCTAGCAATTGCTCTGTCTGCAGGAAGGAACTTGCTGGATCAGGTTGGAATATTGCTCAACCACCCTAACTATAAATCAGACAATGAATGCTAGGCCCGTGCTTTCTGATGCATGCAGCAATCCCGAGGAAAGTTTTGATTTTTTGATGGTTTATATGATAAGCACCGGCCTATAATGAGCTCTCCTCATGAATCATGATCGCCTACCACATCACTCTTTATAAAAGTTGGTTAAGAGAACGTTTCTTCTCCGTTTTTCAAACGGAGAAAAGTTCCAAGCCTGAGAAGTCAGGTTTAAAATAAAAAATAAAAAATAAAAAAATAAAGGAGCAAAGGAGCTAGGAGAAACAAACGACTCTACCAGAAGTGACCATGATCTATTTGAATCATGGTTTTTAAAACTGAACCGGTGACCGAACCGGTCAGGGGTCCGGTCATTGGTTCGAATGGTTTGACTATTCGACTCGAATGGCCGGCCTATTCTGATAAAAAAAATTAAAAAATAGTCAAAACCGTTTGAACAGTTCAAATGGTTCGAGCGATTAATCAGCCAATTCAACGGTTTACTGACCAAAATCAACGATTTTAGGAGAAAAACCAAAAATCGATCACCTGTGGTGCCCAATTTTTCTGATCTAACCATTCGGTCCGGTCCAATTTTGAAAACCATGATTTGAATCTATGAAAGACCACGCCCCCACCACCCCAGCCAACAACAAAATCAGACATACTGAAAACTTGAGGACATTACAAGATATTCGGAGCCATCGATGACAATCAATTCTCATTGTCCTTTTGCCATCTAGCACTGAAGAATTTCTCAATAATGCTAGATGATATTTATACATTAAGGTCGATCCCGACAAACCAACCCTCATAAAATTGCTGCCCTTTTACTATATTAAGAAGTTAATGCTGGGATTGGCCCACCAGTCCATGTAGCAAGTACTGCGTCTCTGCTTCGCACTGCCACAGATTTTACTGCAACATGCTTCCTTCGCCAGCCTCTTTTATCATCTACCCGGGGGGTTATAACTCATGGATCCACTTAAATTACATTTACTTCTTTACAACGACCGAATTTATCTTGTTGTTAACTAAGTGAAACAAGACGTGCAATAAATCTTGGCCCAGATTAGTAAAGATCCAACACTTTTCGCCAACTAATTAATTAGAATTCCAGTCTTGTAATTATATATTCATTTTTGTTCTGTTGATGTATGTGACTCCATCCCACTCTCTCTCTGATCAGTTCGCTATCGACATGAAGATAAACATTGACGAAGCCAAAAGGAAATTGTGAGTTTAAAATCTTAGCTGAATCTCAATCATGAATGGAATTCATTATTATGGTTTAATGCATCGTTCTAATTATTGACTATCAACTACACCCAACTTACTTTCTTTTGCAGTAACCAAACAAGTTCAATCAAACTATCGAATTGAAAAAGAACAGAACAACACCATGTTCGGACAGGAAGGACCCCCACTTTGTCGTGAGTGCCTGACACCTTTTCTTCCGTCGTCAACTAGAAATCGACCATTCTTTTCAAACTTCAATGTTCAATCAGCCAACCAGTGCCAACTGGTTCAACTTGGTCCAGTGGTCTAGAGGATACCTGGTCATAAGGATACAGTTTAGACACAACTTGCTTCACTTTTGCAAGATCTTCCTTTTTAGGTCTTGTTTTATTGTGTACTCCGAGTCCCAAAGTTGCTTCAGCTTTGACACAACTTGCTTCACATTCTAGATGGATACTTTTGGCAGTTCACACTTCACACTACACACAAACTATAGAAATATGTATTTATTATGTTTATAATAATCATTTGAATCACTCACTGATGCACTCTCTGAGTAATAGTATATCCCAATACATGTCTTAAGGTTGCGTTTCTGATACTCTTTGCAGTACAGTACATGAGCCTTGGAGGATGACTTTGGTTAAAAGTAAAAACATCAGGTTGGGTTACAATTTGTTCTTTGGAAAGATTGGCTTACTTGATTGCCTCATCCCCGTCCAACCAGGATCGAGAGTTGCACTCACAAACAGTAAACTGTAAACCGCATCTCTCCAGGGATTAAACAGGAAAAGAAAGAATTTACCCACGGTTGACACCGACAAATTGGGACCAACTACATGATTGAACTCTGGGATGACTAGCGAACTGGGAAAAAAAACAAGATTTCACATAAAGTTAAAAGCATCACCACACAGGATGTTACTTTTGATGGCTGTAAGTGCCAAGTAGAGGGAGGCGCCACGGAAACCCCAAACTATTAAACTGGTCTACCGTTCACGACTAAATCCCTTTTACAATTTCCAAATCCTGCACTGGCACATAAATATATGTTTTCACTACTTAGTTTGTCATCTTCAAATTGAGGAAATGTTGTTGCCTTCGTCTTTTTACCTCAGGACTAAAGACAGCAAATGTTGAAACATGCCCTCTGAAAAGCAAGCAAAGATGGGATGGCAGGGCCTCGAGTGGACCACATATATGTTCAGACTTCAGTGCAGTGCAGTGCAATAACGGAACATATGCAATATGTGCCACTGTCCAATCACTGGGCCCTCCCATATATCCGTCTGGTAAATTCCCCTCACTCAGCTTCGAGAGTCAAGACAAAATAGGGACAGAAGCTGAACTTGCAACTGTCAAGAGCCATATCCCTGCAACCCATCTGAAGGCTTGCATTAATTATAGAATTCAATTCACACTAATAAGAAAAGAAACTTGGCTGGATAAAATGTTACATTCGCAAAAGAACAGTCGAGAACCAAATTAGGAAGATATCATGGAAAACCCTTAATAATGAAAGATTGCTATTGATGGGGGTTAGAGCAGCTGTAGCAGCAACCAACCTAAGATACCTCAACATGCTCAGTTCTGCTTCTTGTTGCATGGAATCATCCTGATGGCATTTCAGCTAATTCCTTCACTTAGGCTGGCCAATATCTTAATATGATGGTGAACAACGCTAGCACCAGCTTAACTACAATATTCAGTCAAACTGCAAGGTTAAGACTTATGATTGTCTACTGGATTGTGCCTCATAATAGGAGACTCCTGCCCATCATTTAGCGCAGCATCTGCTGAAGTTGAAGCACTTGGTGCCTTTGCTCTGGGGGCAAGAGATTAATCTGTTCGGGTGTGAGGTTCATAACTTGCTGAAGTAGTGCCTTCTCCATTTCAGGTGACAACTGCACAATCGTCAAAAATAAAGTGAAAACCAATAAGACAATTTAGGATAGAATTATGATGCCATACTTGCCAAATTGACCAGATAAATTACCTGTGGAGGACGAGGAGGCTGACTGCCAGGTCCAACATGACCAGGTACCAATTGTGGTGGGCCTGGAAGCGGCACTCCTGCTGCATTATCTGGTGGAGTAGGCATCCAAGCAGCACCTCTTTCTACTTGCATGGAATTTCCAGCATGACTATAGTCCGTTACGAAATGTGAACTGCCCGTCTAAAAGAAGCACTCCATCAGGAAGCATAGCAAGGTTGATACTAAAATTCAATAAGCCTATGCTGAACCTCCTTCCCTGTGGGTGCATCCTAGGACATGCCAGTGTTTTAAAAGGTGCTGGAAGCACAGTACTAAGAAAATGTGTGGTGTACAGGAGAGACACAAACACACTTGAGACATGTGCCTCTAGTCTGGACGTGCTTAGAAAGGAATACACTCAGATGAGGTGTATGCTTTTGTTGTGCTATGTTGGAGGTGTACGCCTCGAATGCTCTCACCTTTTATGCCAATTTTTTATAAATAAAATACTATAAAGAGAAGTGGTTGGGAACCATTCCATCATGTTCCCCATTATGTATTAACATGATACAAAGGAGGAAAACCCTCCAAACATTTTATTATATTTAAAATACAAGGCCATTACCTAATATTGGTCCCAGCTATCTGGGGTCTTGGGAGGGGTAGACTAGGTATGGTCTTAATCTTTGCCATTTTTTTCACAAAGTGTTTAATCAACACAAACATTGCTAAATGCTGTATTGAACCCTCAAAGACTTAAAAAGCTGAACCAATAAGGAAGAACTTAAAACTTTATCTAATCAGCACATTTTCCTCTTCCATATATTCTTCTTCTACTTCTTCTTCTTCTTCTTCTTCTTCTTCTTCTTCTTCTTCTTCTTCTACTACTACTACTACTACTACTACTACTACTACTACTACCAGTACTTTTTATTTTCTTCTTTTCCTATAACAAAAATAAGGGTTCAGGCGTTCAGCCCTTATATTTTTTGAATTTTATTTTCCTTCTTCCTTTTCTTCTCATAAATATGTTGATTTTCTATACTTTAATATGAAATTTATACTTTTCCTATGAAAATCATGAATAATTATTAAAGAAATATGGTTATGGTACCTAGGGAACTACCCTAGGATCTATGTTTTTAACATAAAAAATCCATCACCTAGGCGACGCCTAGGTGCCCGCCTAGGTGACTAGGTGACAATGCGCCCCCCAGTCGCTAGCCTCGCCTTGGTGCCTTGAAAACTATGATACTACTACTAAAAGTACAAATGAGCTTGTGGAACTTTTCTTCTTGACTAAAATACCCCTATTTTTCAATTTGGTCCCTTTCTAATTGTGAGGGCAGAAAATGTAACTTGAACTACTAGTTTTCACCTCATTCAATTTCCTTCATTAAGTATTATATTCAAGATATTAACTCCATTCTCTCTCATTAAATACTATAGTAGAGGTATTTTTACCCTCACTAATAAATCCTACTAATCAAATCTATGTCCAATAGTTTTAACAATAAAGCCCATGATTTTTAAAGCCAACCCAAAAATGAAATTGTTCTTCCTTCCAAGTAATGGGTAAGCAATTCAACCATCCAGGTCAAATGGATGTGAACCCATGATGTATTGATGTCAAAGTTAAATAATAAAAATTGTGAAAAAGAAATAAACACGAAAAATACGAAGAATTAAAAATCATAGAAAATTTTGGGCACATCTCTAATATTTTATGTTTTTTTAATAAGCATCTCTAACATTTTATCTTAATCATATTAAATAAAAAAACAAGTGTGATAAAGAAAAATATTTTTATTGATGATTGAAATAAAATGCAAAATGTAAAACTAACCAAGAAATGAAATTATTTTCATATTTGGTGGTAGGTTTCATAACATGTAGGCAATGGACACGTCTCTAATATTATATATTCATCATATTAAACAAAAATAAGTCTAATAAATAAGAATTATTTTTATACACATATCATTATCATCAGATATAATACCACCAAGTGCAAAGCATGTAAGCATTTGCTAGTTTTTAATAAAATACTACAAAGAGAGACATACAAATCTTTTCTTTGATTGCTTTTCAATGTTTTACATTCATTTAAATATGAGATGACACACTTGTTTATGTTAATATCATGCCATTTATGTGAATTGTTAATTCTGAAATTTTGGTGTACAACTTTGCAAGTGTTGATAGCTGATAAACACTAAAATGATTATAGACTATGATGCTTCATATAGTGATATTTCAAATTTATATTTAAATGAGGTATTTTATTATTAGAATTGTAAATATGAAATTTTCTTTTTTTTGATCAGTAATCAAAATCAAATTTTATTACTTAGAGAAAGAAGAGAGTACAGAAATAAGGGCAGCCACGGCTACCAACAATAGAATACAAAGACAATTTGAAGATCAGTCTTAGAACTGAGCCCAGAAGCATTCTGCCCTATTTACCCCTTGCTTTGCTAGTTTGTAAATATGAAATTTTCTAATTTCTCATAACTTTTCCTATTTTTTAGGATATTTACTATATTTATTTTTAATTATTTATTAAAGAAAAGTCCATGTTCAGAAAACTTATGCTTCTTATTCTTAGTTTATACATGCTCATGCCTTAGGATGGTGGGATTCCTTGTGTCAGACATGCATTTTAAATATCAGTGCATGTGCATACACAAACAAAAAGTACTCGGAAACTTATCAGTTTTGCAATTCTTTGTAGGGTTTTTGCTTGTGTCCTGATTAGTTTAGCGAGGGATAGTTGTTATTTGGTGTGTGCATTGTTTTCGGATTTCTTTGTTTAGGTAGGTTGTAGTCTTATGTGAGGGGCTGGGGCTGGTCTTTCCGTCTTTGAAGGTGAAGTTTGTTTCTTTCTTCTCTTGGGTGACTGTTGGTCACCTCCCTATGTAACCAACTTGGTCACCTTCCTATGTATTTACTTTTTTTTCTTTTTTAATAAATCTTTATTTTATTATCAAAAATATGTAACCAGCTTGGTCTTGGCTTTGCAAATATTTCTTAACTAGGTAATGACCAGTTGTAGAGCCATTATCATTTATAAACCAACAATCAACTAGGGGAAATTCCATAAACACCATTTCACAAATAGGTAAAAGAAGCTAGGAATAATCTCATACTTCAAGGAATTAACCTATCTCCCTCAAATCATGTACCTCTGTGCAACTATCAGATCTCCCTGACAAAACCAAATAGTAATAGTGGTTAAGTTGTCATAAGGGAGGTGAAGGTTTTGAAAGACCTTTTCTATGAAGCCCAGAAAATAATAATGGATCTGGTATTCAGATTTTCCATCTAAATTCCATTCATAGAATGTGTTCCAGTTATATCCAACTTGGGGTTTCATTGGCTCTTCGAATAAAAGATCAACTGGGGTATGCCTATGGTAATAAGGCTTGTTACTATAATAGGAGAGTATTTATCTCCAAGTTTTTTATAGATTCATCCTTTGCTACTGATTCATGATTTGATTCTTCACCCATAAAATTCACTGAGCGGGAATCTGATAGATCGTCCTCTTTCTTAATTTTAGAGGATCTTGAAGTTTCTCCCTTTTCCCAATTTGATGAGGATATCAGTTTGGCAGATAGTTCCTGATAACTTACTTTTGATAAGTCTAATGGGGTTGTTTTTATTTTCATATTTTCTGGAAAACTTGGCATTATTGCCATTAGTTTTTCCTTTTTAATTATGATTCTAGACTTAGAAATTTCTAACGAGCTTAATAAGGACTCTATCCTATTAGTTTGTAGAGGCCTTAGAGATAAGATCGAATAAAGTGGAATAATAATAATAATAATAATTGTAATGACACAAGAAACCTTGTCTTTAATTTTTGGAATCAACCCATGGCCTCTAAAATCTATTGCAGCATGTTCAACCTCATCCAACTCCAACCACGAAGATCAGATCCTACTTATTATACAAGATTTTAGCATAACAGCCATGAATCTTCTTAAGAATTGGAACAACCAAAAAGCTAAGCTTGGAGAACTCCTCTAATGTCTGTCAGCTTCCACCAATTAACAATTTATTGTACTGGCCTAAACCCTTCCAATACTGATTTGATAAAATTGATCCCATCAGGATTGAATTGAGGATCCAAATTCTAACATCACAAGTGGTATTTTACTGTCTTTGTAATGTACGGGTACGGCATATATCCCAAAAACTGATCATGATTATAGATTGCAGAGCTGGGCAAGACCACTCAGCCAAGCATCACACTAAACGTATCCCTTACTATTGCTAAAAACAACTCTTGTTGGATGCTAGAGACCTTTCCAAAGAGGAGTTTGACTTCTATCTTCAATGATAAGCCTCACCTCTACAGGAAACCAGGGTCTTAAAAGTCCATATTGTGCCCCTTACTACAGGCCTCATATATTAATTTCACCCAAAGAGAGCATGAGAAGCTATCTTCCACATGCATAAAGGCAACTACACTCATATTGACCATTATCTGTCTTGTTGCATGTCTACCTTAGTCATTCCTATAGATGTCCACTCCACATGAAGTTCCTTGCATTATCCATTTTTTGGTAATAAAATAAAATTTATTAAAAAGAAAAAAGAAGATAGGAAGTGACCACCAATTATCCTTTTTTCCATGCACTACCCATCAATCTTTGTCTTCAAATCTCATTAATCAGGTTAAGGGAGACATGATGTCCTGCTGAGGGTATCCAAGGTCATTGATCACATCATAAAACTTATAAGAAGCATGTCTGTTATTTCCTAACCCCTTCCCCAGTTTCAATATATTATTTTGTACATAGACCTTTCCAGTTTGTAAAGTTCTATAAAAAATAAAAATGACATAGCCCAGCTTGGGCTATAACAGAGTCAGGCATAACCACTCAGGAGCCAAGGAAGCTGAAAAGGTTGGTATAACCTGGCACGACCAAAATCAACAAAGTCCAGATACTCTGGCTGTATGCCCTAATATAATGTGTTCCAGCCAAACCAGGACCATCATTGGTTTGACACCAGAGAATACCCATTAACAGCCCAACTGAGCACCATCACTCAATAAGTTGATAGGTCATCTATAGGGAATGTCTACAATTGAAACTTATATGTATATATATATATATATATATATACTATCTACAAAAGTGCAAATAGGTATCTCTGGCTTCTGGAATTTTCATTGGACAACAAATGCCCCCTCTCTAAAGTTTGAATTTGAACACAAGCAAAGGTAAACTTGTAACATCTTCATTTAGTACTGCTTATTTGGTTAAAAGACACATAAGTACTTCTTTTGTTCAATAATTGGAAAACAAGCTATAAGAAAAATGTCGTTTTACATTTTTCATTTAATGCTTATTCATACTATTATTAAAAGTGTGAATAATGGTGTGGAACTTTTGTTTGACTAAATTACCTCAAATTTTGAATTTGGTCCTTGTCTAATTTTAAGGACGTTAATGTAATTTGAAAAACCACTTCTCTCCTCATTTAAATCCCTCTCACTAAGTCTCATATTTAAAGTATTAACTCTCATTAACATTCATTGAATCTTTTTCTTGACTAGAAAAGCCCTATTTTTGGATTTGGTTTCCTCTCTAATTGTAAAGGCACAAAATGTAATTTGAATTTGAACTATTACATTTCTCCTCATTCAATTCCCTCTCATGATATGCTATGATTGGAGATGTATCCTGCCAGTCATGCATATCCTGCCGAAACGGGTGTGTATTGGTCCGTATTGCACTATACAGACCGATATAGAATGATACGCTACCCACGAGCCGCAAATGCACATACTCTTCTGAAAAAGAAAGATGGAAGGATTCGAACTCGTGTCAAGGGCTAGGAGAGCTTAATGTCCACGCCTGTAAGCCACCACGCCACTCTGCCTTTTGTGTTTATGAGTAAATGAATATAGCTTTTATTTCTTTATTACATAAATGCAATTCAAATAAATAATACATATTACAGTTAACTCCAACTAAAAATTAAAAAAGTAATATTTAAAATCAGTATTTTATAAAATAACAGAAATAAATAATATATCAAATCCATATTTATATCAAAATATTATTTGAATCTCAAAAAATTTATAAAAATATAATATTAATAGGAGAATAATTATTTTAATACTTAATATTTATAAATTTGAACATGATATATATATATATATATTAATTTACATTACATAAAATCATATTTATTATTTAATAAATAAAGAAATTGTTTACAAAATATTCAAGAATATAATCTTAAATTGAACCTATCAAATCTACTAATCTACATTTATACCAAAAAAAGATTTTTAATTAGAAAATTATAGGAATAAAAATATAATAATGGAATAATCATTTTAAAAGTCAAAAATTGTGAATTTGCATATGATATGTATCTTAGAAATTTTAATAGATTTGATATATTTTAAGTTGAGACTATACATTTTATAAATTATTAATGGATATTTTAATTTACATAGAGAATTAAATATTTGGTTGACCTTTTTGTTAATGTAATAAAGTAAAAATAGTAAAACCAAAAATAATTGATATAATAATTAAAATATAATAGGAAAATATGTTTTGCATTTTGGACTCTTGATTGATACATTATCAATAAAATTGTATGATATCTATGCATGATACTATATTAATTGTAATATATTTTTTTCATAAACACCATTAAAATATACATTTTATATGTATTTATACATTATTTATGATTATTTGACCTTAAACTTAATATTATTAATGTATTACAAAATTTTTATGTGTTACCCTAGCATATCCATATTTTTCGTCTGTATCCATGTGTTTCCAAAGCGTATTCGTATCCAAGTTGTCCGATACGATACTCGATACCGATACTTTAATCCTTGTGTGTGTGTATATGTGTATATATCTGTATCCAAGAATAATTATTATTTATCACACTTTTTTTTCTTTAATATGACTAATATATATATTAATCATATTAAAGAAAAAAAGTGTGATAAATAATTATTCTTATTAATGTTGGAATGAAATATAAATTATAAATTTAAAAGCAATTCAAAAATAAAAATTATTTTTGTGATGGTAGGTCAACAATTCAACCTTTTGAGTCAAATGTGTCAACCCTTGATAACATAATTAAATAAAAAATGGAAAAATATAAAAACACAACAACATTATGTAATAATACAAAATTTTGTAAATAACATTTCGGCACCTATATAACATTTTATTTTAATCATATTAAAGAAAAATAAGTGTGATAAATAATAATTGCTTTATTGATGTTGGAAATAAAATATTAAATTTAAAACCAACCCAAAAATGAAATTGTTTTCTTGGTGGTGGGTCAACAATTCAAACCATATGTCTCAACCACAGATTTCATAATTAAATAATAAAAATTAAAAATATAAAAACACAAAAAAAATATGAAAAAGATATAAACTCTTTAGAAAACATTTGGAACATCTCTAATATTTTATATTAATCATATTAAAAATTAGACATGATAAGCAAGAATTGTTTTTTATTTTTTTATTGATGATATAAATAAAATACAAAATTCAAAACTAACCCAAAAGTGAAATTGTTTTCCTATTTGGTGGTAGATCGATTCAAAATTTCAGGTCAAATGTGTCAACTCGTGAAGTTATAATTAAATAATAAAATTTTAAAAAAGATAAAAACTGAAAAATATACAAAAAATGAATAAATTGTGTAGAAAGCATTTTGGCATATCTCTATATTAATGAACCATAATAAGTGTGACAAATAAGAATATTTTTTGTAGACATAGAAATATGAAAAAATTCTAGAAAACTTTGGAACATATTATGTACTATCGTCATCACAAAATTTGTCACATGCAAAGCACATACACAAATACTAGTCCTACAAAATGAGTATGCTTGCATAATCTAGCCATTTAAGTTCTGCAATTTTTTACTTTTTTAAGAAGGGAAAGTATTGTGTTGTATTATATTAATATGCAAAAGGACTGAAGGACTATGAGAGTACATCAGCCCATGTACAATGAGAACCTGTACATTGGGAATATACAAAAAGGAAAACACAGAAAGAGTCATCTGAAGAAAGGCTATCCTACATTTTCTATATTGACAAAGTTTGATAATCATCTTGTTCAACTCCTAGAATAAGAGAACATCAAGATCAGATCATCAGAAAATAAGGGAAGGCCCATTGGTAGGCTATATTCAACATCCAATAGAGCACCTGAGGCTATATTCAACTCCTAGAATCATCTTAGCCAATAATAAGAATTCTGGGGCTACAGGATGATCACATTCCTTTTTATTGTAATTAACAATTCAGTTTTATGGTTTTTCTTTTCTTTTTTGATAACTCAATATGAATTCATCCTGTATGAATTCATGAATGAAGCTATTTAATTCCAAAATATGAAGAGACAGTTTATACCTGATACAGTGACTGTGGTGGCAGTGGTGGCTGTCCCTGTGGAAATGAAGAATCAATGGTAGTTGGGGGTTTAGAACCTGACTGGAAAATTTTGAAAAGCTGATTAATTTCAGGCATTTTATATGCAATATAATCAATAGCAATTTTAGCTTCATAATTTCTGCTTCTTAGCTTACATGAAATGTGGGTTGCAAGAGATGAGGCTGGGTTACACCAGATGGCTGGAAACCCAGATTCAAACCCATTTGTGAGTGAAGCTGATTTGGGAAAGGAGGGATTGAAAGCATTGAAGATGGCCTAGGTTGCAGCAGCAATGGTGGTTGCAGTGGCAGATGGGGAAAGCCTGCTGTCTGCATCGATTGTTGTGACTGACTGGAGAAATTAGGTATCTGGGGTGGAAGAAGTGGAGTTAGCTGTGGAGCAGAATGTAATGGAAGAGAAGGTATATTATGTAGTGAGGAGGATTGTGGAAGCGATATTGGGGTAAGTGGTGCACTCAAGGGCCCCTTGGACTGCTGTAATGCCTGCAGAGAATGTGATGACATAGTGTTTGGCTGAAGGGTCACTTGTGGAACAGAAGCTGATGAGACAGGCACGGCAGGTTGATTCAGTTGTTGCTTTCTCACTGTAGTTTGGGTCTGAGATGCACTTCCTTGATCTTGTGGTCCAACTTGGATTGGTAATGTGTGTGCAGTCTGAATGTTCAGCTGCTGATTTGTTTGTACTGCTTGCTGAGGATGCTGAGATGGTGATTGCTGAATGTTTGGCATCTGTATTTATGTAAAGTTTAGATTCTATACATATGCACAGATATAGAGTTGAAATTACGAATGCCCAGTGGCAAAAAATATATATACCACTTGTGGAGGTTGCACCATTCCAAGCATGATCTGTGCCTGGAGATGAGAAAAACAATTGTCAATGTCCAACAAAACTGATAAATTGTTGAAATGCTTTTTTCTTTAAAAAAAAAAAGATAAAGTACATTAATAAAAAAGAAATAAATTTACAAGATGCAGACTCAGCCAAATATCCAGCTGGAGAGACCAAAAGAAACACTAAACAGGCCATGACAAAGGACTAGGACACAAACGGAACCAAACAAGATCAAACCCCCAGAATACAACACAAAATGGGCCCCAACATAGCACCTAGCACTCCCTGTGCCTGGACCAAAACACGAGAACTAATCACAGAACGATAACCTCAAAAAGCCCAGGCCACCCAGGCCAACACAAGAGAATCAATCCCCCTACCCCTTCCACGGGCACTACCTGACCCCTTTCTTCTAGGCTTCACCAAAACATCATCATAAAAGTCAACGAAATTGTCTGCCTTCCAGCATCCTGGGAGGCAATCTAGACTATCAAAGGCCCAATCTGAATCAGTAGTATATTCAGTCAATAAGTATTCAATCTCTCCCTAAAGGTTCAACTTTTGCTTGGCATGGGCTACAGCATCTGTCACCACCTGAATCAGTACCCAAATGCTTACCAAAAAATCATTAGAGACTCCACACTTTGTTCAACCATGTTGAGAGCAGAAGGGTTTTTTCACTCACAAGCAGTTTCATGTCACTCAGTCTCAGTTGTCACAGTCCCACATGCCACCAGAGCAACAGAAAGCCCTCTATAGTCTGAAACCACTGTTGCAACCGGAGATGACCCTCTTTCTAATTGGGTTTCCTTGTGAGAACCCCAGACAAACCAGCCTCCACACCAACCGGGACTGGAACCAACCATGTGGGGGAGTTAAGGTCAAAGGCAAAAGACCCATTCTTCAGAAACTATTCAAACACGGCCAACCATGTGCAAGGCATGTGTGTGTGTTCCTGAATAAAGTGAGTCACCACTTTTGAAAAGAAAAAAAAAAATCATCATCATCTAAGCCTTGTCCCAACCATACGGGGTCGGCTATGAATCCTGTTTCGCCATTCCATTCTGTTTAGTGTCATATCCATTGTTAAATAATGAACACCTAAATCATTTCTGATTAATTATTGTTTCAACCAATGTCCCTTTTGGTCTGCCCCTCCTAGCCCTTTTATTTCAAAATAAAAACTTAACATAAAAAAATGTGTAAATCTAAGTTTTCAAAATCTCTATTAGCTTAATTGGTTAGAGTATTGTGTTGTTGACACAAAGGCTCTAGTATTGTACATTTAAATCCTACATAGGCTAAACTGTTTAAATTCTAAACATCAAAGGTACAGCCTACAATTAAATTACATATTCAATATCAAATTCAAGGTCAATTCATCAAAACATAGCAACAATCTGGGTGAGGAACACCTTGAAAAATGAGCATATCCTGTGAATGGGGGTGACTTTTAAAACACAGGTCACAACTGTTGCAGTATCTATTATTAAAGAAAGATAAAATAAAAGATAAAGGGAGCAGAAACTGGGAAGAAAAGAAAAGAGAATAGGGAATGAGGAAAGAACAAGAGAATCAAACAGCACTAAGGACAGAAGAGAAAAAGAATCAACTCCCAGCTTGCCAATCTGACTATTTATATTAATAAATGGTGATTACAATTATGCCCCTGATTACAATAATTATAGGACTAGAGCATCCTTATAACAAGACTGAAATTAGACAATTGCCCAGCCGCCCAAATACTTAAGAATAAAAGATAATTCCAACACTCCCCCTCAAACTGGAGCATATATATTATATAGATCTATCTTGTTGCAAATATAGTCCATCCAACTTTTGCCAAGACCTTTAGGAAACAAATCTGCCAATTGATCTTCTAATTTCATGTAGGGCATCGCAATATCTCTACTTAGAACCTTCTCTCATACAAAAGGACAATCTACCTCGATATGCTTTGTTCTTTCATGGAAAACAGGGACTCAATCTCTTGGATGATGCTAGACAACACTCAGTACCTCTTGTCTATCCACAAGACTTATTCACAGCCTGGGGTCGGGCTGGCTTACCACTTACCAACAGAAAATGTTCAGGCCTGAGCCTGAGCCTAGGACTTATTTAAAGCCCAAAGCCCAATCTAAATAGGAAGTAAAAGTAAATTTGATACACAAGAAAAATAATTGGGTCTGATACTTACAGCCGAAGCCCAAGCCTGTGGGCATCAAAATACGTACAAGCCCGATAAAGAATGGTTCGGGCCAGGCAAACCTGCTGGGCTACCCAGCCCATGAACAGGTCTAATATCCACCATTTTCCTTATTCCTTCCGTATCCTTTTTTCATCCTTCAGTTATATATTGTGTAATTACCAAAAAGTAATCACCATCTTCCTCTTGTTTATCATCATTGGGTATGCATATCTCTTCATCACTTCTTGCTTCACAAGCCCTTTCAAGCACATGTGCAGCTAATATTTTATTACCATCCTTCCCTCTTCAATATGATTGCTCTCTTCTGATTCAAAACTTCAATTTAGTTTTTTCCTGTTAATAAGCCATTCCTCTTCTTTACAACGTTCTACTCCAAAGCCACACATCTGCCCATATTATTAACCCCTTTTACTTCCAAGGCATTCTCAAGCCCAATACCTCCTTTTCTTGTGATATTACCTTTTTATCCCTTCTCAAGTGGAACACCTTACTATCATCGTGTGATTTTTGTTTCTGGTTTGAGCCATAGGAATAACAGTGGAGAGTGGACCCCAGCTACTCATGCCTTCTCAAAACTCACAAATTCTCCACCATTTTGCATAGCTTCCTCCTGACAATTCTGCTTCCCATCTTTAATTTGACACTCCGTATGTCCCCCCTTTTGACTGCCTCATTGACCTCACCCTTCAGTTAAATGGCATACTGCCCCTGCCAGTTTGCAGCTAATCATCTTCTTCTCTTTCAAGCTGTAGAAAGTTTGGTCTTCACCCTCCACTAGGATTCTTACTTGATATGCTTCTCCTGTAAATAGAAGCTTGATTAGCTGTGGAATCCTCAAAATGTCTTCCACCTCAACTAAAATCCTTGCCAGGTGTATTTGATCCCATACTTTGTTCTGCTAGTCATACTTGAGAAACTTCCCACAAAGAGTCTCCAATAGCCATGGAGGTCTACAAACACCATGCAAGTAAAGGGATGATGGCTCCAGTCACCCAAACAGCCTTCTTGCCATTTGAATTTCTTATGCTCCAGCAATCAGAGCCTACTAGCCAATACATAGGTCTGGATCCTTTCACAGCCCCACCTCTAGCTCCAAGATATGCTCTACTACCTCTTTGCTCTAAGTATAAAGAGGAAGAGAGCAGCATTTAACCTTCTTACTTCCACCACAGCACCTACCTTCCATAAAGCAATTTCAGCCCAACCTTTTGCATCCTCCAATTCTGGACCCACACCAATGAATCTACCAACAAAGCATAAGGTTGGGGATAGGAAATTTGGTTATAAAGAATATAGCTTTGTTAGGTAAGTGGTTGTGGAGATGGCCCTTGGAAAGAGGGAGATTGTAGCATGAGGTGCTAGCTAGTATTCATGGCTGCTTGGAAAATGGTTGGGATGCTGGTGTTTCTCGTCGGGCTACCTTGACCACTCCTTGGAAAGTGGTTCACAGTATCCTTCCCCAATTTCTTAACTTTGTCAGGAATGATGTTTGCTTAGGGGATTCTGTTCACTTTTGGGAAGATGTCTGATTGGGTACTTCAGCTCTCAAAGACCTCTTTCCTTCTCTCTACTGAATCTACTCTATTTCCTTGTTTAAGCATAAGATTGTCTCCAACTTTCTTCCCTCCCCCTTTCAACTGTCTTTAAGTTGGAATTTTGGCTTCCATCGAAGTTTAAGGGATGTTGAACTTGGTATTGTTTCGCAACTCCTTCTGGTTCTTGATAATATCTGTTTGGATCCTTTAAAATCAGACAAGAGGATTTGGTCCCCCCCATCCAAAAGGGCCCTTTACTTGTGCTTCTTTTTTGAAGGCCCTTGGTTCTTCCTCCACTTAGTTGGTCTTTCTGGTTAAGGAGATTTGGTCTAGGCTGGTTCCCCCTAAAATTATTTTGTTTTGCTGGAAAGTGTTTTATGGGAAAATAAATACTTTAGATTGCTTGCAAAAGAAAAAGCCTTCTATATGCTTGACCCCTAACTAGTGTATTCTTTGCAAAGCTAATGGTAAGGACCGCTTCCACTTACTTCCTACTCTTTTGTTATTGCTATTTGGGATTGGATTTTTACCTTGTTTGGATGCAAGTGGAACCTACCCATTGGTGTAAGTGTGCTTTTCGACCTGTCGGTCTTTGTATGGCCCACGAAAGAGGGAGGGTTATGTGGAAACGTATTAAAACGGTTGCAATTTGAACAATTTGGGAAAGGAATGCAAGAATTTTTCAAGAAATGGAACAAAGTCTTCTCGATGTCAAGGAGTGCATCTTAACAAGGACAATTCATTGGCTGAGAACTTTGGATTCTTTCCACTTGTTTTCCTTTGATGACTTGTGGAGGAAATGGTTAGCAGTGGCATCTAGTTCCTCCAAGAAGGAAAGGGTTACTATGGGATGGACCCCGCCACCTAAAGGTTGAGTAAAGCTGAATTTTGATGGAAGTAGTCAAGGCAATCCTGACCCCTCAGGTATAGGAAAGGTTTTGAGGGATAAGGATGGTAATAATTTAGCCCTGTATTTAGGCCCAGGGGAATAGGAGACTCTAAGGTTGTTGGCAGCTTTACAAGGTATTCAGATTGAAAATCAACTTGGTGTTGAGAATCTTCAAATTGAAGGAGACTCTAAGGTTGTTGTGGGTTAGTTAATAGACCTGAACTCAGTCATTTGGTGCTACAAGGATCTCCTAAAGAAGGCTAACTGGTTATTAAGGAATATGACTGTTAGCTTACATTGGGTGGGCAGGTCAATAAATGCTATGGCTGATTATCTTGCTAAACAACAGCTTTTGAGGGAACATCTGAACATCTATACCTGGCTATCTTGTAATGTTTTATCTCTAGTTTTTTTTTTTTTGATAAATAATATTTTATCTCTAGTGCTCTATGGTTTTTTAGAATTTCAAGGGAGGTCACACCTTGTACCTCTCTGTGGGATGCTTGTAACAGTTCTTGTCTTTTGATAATAAAATTACTCTTCAATTATCAAAAAAGAAAAAAAACAAAGCATGTGTCTAAAATTTTAATCTATGTGCGAGTTTACCAACATCTGAGACTACCACAGCCATTCTCATGTCGTCATCCCTTAAAATTTCTTCTTTTACATATGCAGAAGCTACTAAATTCAATGCTTCCTGTTGTTCATAGCTTTTTATATTGTATATGTATCTCATCTTGTGAAACATTGCACAATTGCATACGGGCTTTGTCCTAATATTATATACACATAAACATTTGTGCTTATGTATATATAATATGCCTTCTTTTTTTTCTGATCTTTTAAATAAAAAAAAAAAAAGATAGAATATGATTACAAGCTATCCTGGAATCAACTTATCTATGTCATCTGCTTAACATTTTGCGCTAACTAAAAGTTAATAATGTAAAAATTAACAATTTTTTCCAAATATACATATTTTCCAGATGGATGCCCAAAAAAGGATATAAGCATGGACTCTATGGTACATAGTTAACTACCATTTGTGCAATGAAAGTTACGTGTTCCCAATCATTACAAAAATTAGAAAAGTTCAACCCTTCAAACTGTGCCATGATGGATGCCCAAAAAAGGATCATAGGCTCCATATTTATAATAACTAAGGGTCTGTTTGGTTTCCATATAGGGAATGGCCATTCTGCCCTCCCCCCTTGGGAATGTGATTCCCATTGCACCTCTCTATTTTTCATTTTTTATGTTTTGACAAAAAAAAACCCATTTTAACCCAAAGTCCTACTCGATCCCAAGTCCTCATCGTCTCACAAGCCTTCCCCCATCCAAGTTAGTTGCCAAAGACCACCATCTCCGCAGAGGTAAGACCGACACCAGTCACTGGCCAGTCATCCTTCCCCTGTATCACCTTCTCTTCTTCCTATTCTTCTTCTTACTCCCCTCTTCTCTTTTCTTCTGCCCCCCCCCCTTCTTTCTCTCTCTCTTCCTCCTCCCCTTTCTCATCGTCGTCGCTGCTAATATCACTAACACTTGGTATAAGCAAATCCTCTTCTTCCTCCCCTCTCCTTTCTTCTTTCTCCCCCCCCCCCCTTCTTCCAAATCTTTGCTCGGCCGAACAAAGCCTGGAATCCACCCTCTTCTTCTTCTTCCAAATCTCCTGCTACCACTGTGACAGTAGTCAAGTCAAACAAAGCCTGTAATCCGCCCTCTTCTTTCTTCCACTCTTCTTCCAAATCTACGTCATTACCACTATGAATGGGAGCAAGACTGAAAATTTTGGCTGATTCCTATTCTGACTTCCGGCTGAGCCAAATGGCACAATCAGAATTCGATTCCTATTCCTGTTTGAACCAAATAGGCGTCAAGAATGGGTGATACCAATTCCAATTCTTGGGGATTCCACTTCTGGTTCTGATTCTGATCCTAACCACAAACCAAATGGACCCTGAATTCACCTCACATCCCTTCTTTTGGGAAGTCCTATTATTTTTTTCTCTATCTTCACATAGAAGCAAGCAAATAGGGAAAAAAATAAAAAAAAAAACTAGGTTCCACAGGATATGGACTTGTTTGCTAAATTCTTTCACCAGCCAAGACTCGTGTAAACATGTTATATGCCAAGAAACCAGAACTATTCATTTTCTTCCAAACAGCTTTAGTAAATGGTCCTATAGGCTCAGTTTGGCAGAAATACAAATACAAATATATAGAGTGTAAAACCTTGTATTTTGTATTTTGTATGTATTTGTATTGTACATATTTTTATTTGTACTCTTCCCAAACTGAGCCATAATAACAATTCTAGAATATATACTTATTTGTTAACCATTTTTTTTTCCTTTTTGGGATAATATATCAGTTAAACTAGTCGGAACCAAATGAATTTGATACATTGTCAGCTTGTTATACACTAAACAGTCCAATAAATCTACACTATTCAAAAAAGTATAAAATTTCCATTATTTGATTGATCTTGAAAACCTCACTAAATTCCCTTCCCAGAGCTCTAGAAAGGATATATACCTCAGTCAATCCTTGCATACCATATTTTAAACTATATTTTTGATTCGGACCTTAAATTCAAAATCTTAGTATCGTATGATTATACTCTGACGCAAAATACAACAGGCATAAAATAATTTACAAAACCTTAATTAGACCATGTAGGAAGTGCAAAGCAGACAAACAAATCGAGTTCTATACATAAGAGAGTTCAACAATTTAGGATGGATAAAGAAGAACAAGCAGAAATCCATTTATTAAAAAAAAAATAATTATTTCCTTTTAAACCCAAAATCAGAACGGAAGATAAGGAATAGGTAAAAGAAACCTGGAAAAGTGCTTTCGTCAAAAGAGGATTCTCTACCAGTATCTGTCTCGCTTGCTGTTGATTCTGTTCGATTAGAGACTGTATAAAAAAATATGAAACAAGAAACATTGGGGCTACACTTGTCTTAGTGAACGAGCAAGCGATACTATTTGAACAGAAAACAAAGAACGAAGATTTATATATAACGGAAGAAGAACAGAATAAATTTTTCTTTGAGGAGGATTTAAAGCTTACATTCATCTGAGACATGATGTCGTAGAGCTGGTTCTTTGACATCCAAAGAAGATTAGACGCAAAAGGGTCGCCGGCGATATGCTTTCCCGCCATGGTTTCGAGAAGAGAGAGAGAGAGAGATGCTTTATGACTCGAACTCGCTTGTTAGGCATGTGTAGTACTGTGTAAATCGGGGAAGGTAAATTAGGTAACGCTTCAGCCCAACAATGGGTTTACAAAGATCTAACATTGTGGGCCTTCATAATAATGTTCAGCATGCAAAGCAAACAAAAAAAAAAACATTAGTCCATTCCTATCATATAGAACTAGCTCTATTCTATCAACAAAGAATGCATGTTTGTATTAGTTCTGTTAAATATTACATCCAGTTCAGCTTATCTGTTTATTTGTAATTGTAACTGTATTCTTATCTCATAATTTTATACTTTGTCTCATTTGTTCTTATGACAGTGCAAATTTTGCAAAGACTTAGTTTGGAAAGAGTACAAATATGTAGGATGCAAAATCTTACATTTTGTATTATTTTGTATGTATTTATACTGTATATATTTGCATTTGTACTCTTTCCAAATATGTACAGTATAAATACATACAAAATATAAGGTTTTGCACTCTACATATTTGCATTTGTACTCCTTCCAAGCTGAGGCTCAGGAGTACAAAAGCAAATATGTACAGTATAAATACATGCAAAATAATACAAAATATAAGGTTTTGCACTCTACAGATTTGTATCTGTACTAAAGCTCAGTTTGGAAGGAGTACAAATACAAATATATACAGTACAAATATATACAAAATATATAGTTTTGCACTCTACATATTTGTATTTGTACTCCTTCCAAACTGAACGCCGAGTTTGGAAAGAGTATTAATGCAAATATGTACTGTGCAAATACATACAAAATAATGCAAAATATAAGGTTTTGCACTCTACATATTCGCATTTATACTTAGGCTCAGTTTGGAAGGGGTACAAATACAAAATATGTACAGTACAAATACATAGAAAATAATACAAATTACATAATTTTTCACTCTACATATTTGTGTTTGTAAGGAATACAAATACAAATTTATAGTGTGCAAAACCTTGCATTTTATATTATTTTGTATGTATTTATATTGTATATATTTGTATTTATACTCTTTCCAAACTGAGCTAAAAATTGATATAAAATTTGCACCACCTTCATCCTAGACTTTATCATCTTCCTTCCTACCTTACTCTCAAACATATAATACTTCTACTTCCATTCTTTTTCAAATAAAATGGGGACCACCTCATTTTACTTCCTATTTTACCTCTCACAAATAAATATGTCAAAGTTAAATCCAAAGTAAAAGCAAACTATAATTTAGACTTAACCCATGCATTTACACCAATGCAAATGAAACAAACAAACTGAGCCATTATGATTTTATTGCACCAAAAAAATCCCCCAATGGGCTGAGATCGGCTTCGGTCAGGGCAAGCCCATACTCACACCGTCCCAACACCCCTTGCAACCTTAGAAATATCTCCCCATAAAATAAAGTATGGAGATATTTCCAATGCAAAGCTGTAAAGGCTGAGGCTGTTTGAACGGGTATTGCTCTGACGGAAGCCGAACCCTAGTGGGCTAGGTAATTTTATAGACCATGCATGCATGTCTAGATGCAGTTTTAATAAGTGAATACAGGATTATAGGTATACATATAAGCATGCGATATTAATAAATATACCCACTTTTTTTTCTTATTGATTCTGAATTTTCTCTTCTATGGAGAATGTGTACCAATGGGCTTTCAGTTTTAAGTTTTGTGTGGTCCTCAGCTGGAATTGGAATGGTCTATTCCTCCTAGTTGTTTGGTTCATACGGGAATTGGAATCAAAACCAAAATCAGCTGGAATAGATTCTCATTCTCAAGGGAGGGGCAGGGAATGGTCATTCCCTCAAATGCCATTCCACCAAGAACGGTAATGGGATTCCAACCGCCCAATCAAATCGTTGGAATTGGAATGGACCATTCTAATTCCAATTCCAGACCTCTATTCCCATGAACCAAATGAACACTTAGTTTGACAAACCCATTATTATAGCTAATGTTGACTTGAACCAAATCATGGAAAGATACCTAATAAAAAGGGGTAAATTGTTGAAAACCTCCTCTGAAGTTTCTGACTGTTGCTGAAACATCTCCTAAAGTTTGGTAATATTAATCACCTCCCCTGACATTTTGAAAAATAAATCAATTTCGGAAAAGAGATCGGAAAGGTTTGGGGTAGTGATTGATATGAAGAGAAATCTTGAAAAATAAGCATTTTGGTCAAAAGTGACTTCATGGGTATTTTGGCATTTTGATGCCTCTTGTTAGAGGGTTCTAATAGAAGGGTCTACTTGTAACTGTTAGAAAGTTCAGGAGAAGTTATTGCAATTATCAAGGGGATGTTTCAACAATGGTTAGAAATTTTAGGGGAGATTTCAGAAATTCACCCAATATTGTTTATTTGACATGTATTGCTCTTCAACTCTACCTATGATTTATCTTACAACGTCAATCCCAAGTCCAGATGCAGAGTTGTCTCAAGTTGGCAGATGAATTAAAACCTTTAAAACAATCCAATCCATATCAACGTTATATTAGCACTTGGGATTTGATACTTGCCATGCTGTGTGTAAAAACCACCTACATAACCAATCGTTAGCGAACATGTCAGAATTTTATACACATAGGACCCATATCTATCTATCTATAGCAAGACCATCCACATCAGCATGTCTCTCCTTGCTCCATTTACCACCATCTGCATTCTCCTTGACTCTCTCCTCTCTCCTCTCCCCTTCCCACCACTCCCGTGAAGCCATGTCACCATTCCCAACCCAACTACCTAAAAATATTCTTAGAATCTCTCTCCTAACATATCTCCTCTAAGTTATTAGGAGCGTATCTTGTTACCCTATTCCCTGATCAATTCATGAAATCTCTCCCCTAATCCATATCCACTCTCTCTCATTTAAAATATTCATATTAATTAATAAATAGTTAAATATAGTTAATATTTAATCCAACCCATATTCAATGAGTATTAAATAGTGTTATTACCAAAAGTTAATAAATACACTACTAATTACCAAAGTTTAAATATTCTTATTAGTATGATTAGTAAATTACCAAAAAATAATAAATATTGTTATTAATTAACTCATCATGACTTTTTAAAGTATTTTAGTATTATATTCATGTTAATTAACAACATTTTACAGAAATTGAAAACTCTTTAAATAATTTCTATAAAATTGAGAATTATATTTAACAATTATCAATAAGTATAAAATTTTAGTTATTGCTATTATTATAGTTAATTACCAAATTTAGATGGGGCAATAAAATTTTATAATGTTGGTAATGAAAGTATTAATTAATTTATATTGGAAAATAAAAGATAAATTAGTGTACTATTTTTACTAAACTACTTAATAAAAAATTAAATTAATTTTCAATAAATCTCCATAATTACACAAATGTAATAAAATTTTCAAAATTTTTCATAAAACCACATTTTTGTAAAATAACATTTTGGAAATTAAAAGATATAATACTGTACTTTTGGAAAAATTTTGAAAGTTTATTAAATAATTATTGAAAATTACTGGAATGTTTTGGAAAATTTAGGAAAGTTTATTATACATTTGATATATTGTGGGAAACTATTGAAAATTTATGTAATTTTCATTCTAAATTATTGAAAATTATTAAAGATAAATGAGTATGGGAAAGGGAAAACTGTAATTTAAACCAATAATTACACAAATTATTAAGATAAATTAGTATAATATTGGAAAAAGGAAATTATTGATTAGTTTATATTAGAAAAATATAAGATAAATTAGTGTAATTCTGTAAGAAAACCATTTAAAAAATAAATTATTTAATAACAATTTAAAAATAAATTTGAATAAATTATCAAAATTAAACAAATGTAATAATTTTTTCAAAATTTTCATAAAATTACATGTTTGAAAATTAAAGACAATTTAGTGTACTATAGAAATTTACCATGTGGCTGATAGTCAGTATATTTGACCATTTTTGTCATCAAATTGAATATTTTGTTGACGGGGAGTGAGTGCCTTGCCTTGAACCCGCCCGACACCCGACACTAGGGATAGGGTGGGGAAAATTTGAGGATTCCCCATCCTTGATGATGAGTGGGTGTCTTGCCCTGAACTCGCCCGACATTGAGGACGAGGTAAGGAAATTTGAGATTCCCCTTCCCTAACGGGAACTGGGTGCCTTGCTCTAAACACACCTAACACTGGGGACGGAGTGGAGATGGGGTAGACTGTCTTGACTATGGGGCATGGATAGGGATGGGTGCCCTGCCATGAGCCCACCTCTTGCCATTAGGGGTGCAACTTTTGCAGGTTAGGGCGAAAGAGTGTAAATTGTTAATTCGGGCCAGCCCAACTTGCACCCCTACGTTGCCATTCCTATAAAATTGTTAATTATTAGTAAAATTAATAAAAATGTTAGCTTTTGTAATTATTTTTATTTATTTAAAGTCAATCAAAATTTTATTTAAAAATAATAAAAATGATAACAGTTATTAAATTGCTACAAATGATTAATAAAATTGAATTTATTAAAAAATATATGTTCATATTAAATTAATAATAATAATTTTTTATAAATCAACATTAAATAAAAATACAATTATTAAAATTTTAAATATTAACAATAAATTTGAATATTTTTAATTAATCAACAATAAATTTTAATTATTAATTTATCAATTAATTAATAATAAATAAAATTATTTAATCTTTCAGATTTTCCCTGCATCGCATGGGGTCCACGTTAATTCATGTATATAGACCACTGGTACGTCCACTTGTGATAGGCTACGTTAGATTTTACACACGGCGTGGAGGTCAGCAGATATAGAGGAAAGAGAGTGTTCTCACCTCAATGCCGACATGACCACCTCCTCTCATTTCTCACATGCATGTGATTATTATTTTTAAATTAAATATTAAAATATAACGAGTCACCGTTAAAAAATATCTCTTAGGTCTTAATTATACTATTTTTGTAATATATGATAGCTCCCATTAGGCATTTCTTTGGTTATATCTATATCGTCCTTAGAAAATGAAGACTGAAACAGGAAGAGCTGCAAATAAAAGCGTGTACAATGGGCAAAGAAAGCAATCAAGAGTGAACACGCTCTGTAGCCCATTATACTTTGTACATGCATCTGTTTGC